GGAATTCTGGGAGTTGAAGTCCACCCATCTTAAAGTTGCTGAGGTTGAGGAACCCTGAGCAAATGAACCTAGCTGATACTTAGACCAAGTAATACCAGGCGCTACTGCAGTGGGCTGTAGCCTTTGCAGCTATTCAGGACAAAGGACCCACTTACATCAAAGGCTTAATGTAGTTGTGTGTGTGTCGGTGTGTGTGTGTTTGCAAGTACAAATGCCAAAATTCATATATACAACAAGGTTTCCTGAAAAGATTATTGTAAAGGAAAGAGCTTTATGGGACATGGTGACAGTTCATAATAAGAATAATGCTGAAATTTCCAGCATTGAATTTTACTGAATTCTCAGTATGTTTAATTACTGTTGATTTAAGTTTCTCTTCTGTAAGCAAAGAAAAATCTCATTGCATAAAAATATCTGCTTTTTCATGAAGTGATTGGTTTGACTAAAGCTGTCACTCTGAACTTACTTACCTGGGAGTAAGCTCACTCCTTATGCTTCTGGTTGAAGCCCTCTTGAAGTCAGAGAGAGATGTTAGAAATGACTGAAAATGCATTGATTTGGTGAGAGCTAAATTCGAACAATTTCATTTAGCTGCAAGGCCTTTTTAGGAGAATCGTAAGCCAGATTTTAAATGCTAGTCTTTGTGAATGCATTGTCCAAAATCAAGCTCAAAAAGTAAGTTCAAAGTTCATTTAAAAATATTATTTAATCCAAGGCATACATTAAGCCAGATGGGAGAACATGTTTGGTGGGGTAATGATTGAGGGATGCGTTATTTTTCTCAATCCAATTTCTGATAGTGAGGCATTTGAATCTGTATCTTCAATTTTTATCAGTCATGGCAGATTTTGGCCTTTTTATCCAGTCTGAAATTAACCGACTGATCTGTTATTTTCTCCCCAGCTTGTTGTCAAGGTGCACATGAATGATAACAGCACAAAGTCTCTGATGGTGGATGAACGGCAAGTGGCGCGTGATGTCTTAGACAATCTCTTTGAAAAAACCCACTGCGATTGCAATATAAACTGGTGCCTTTATGAAATATATCCAGAGCTACAAATTGGTAATTTACAAACCATCAGGCAATCTCTGCTGATATTTCTGTGGTTTTCCTAGAGAGCAGTTTCCTGGATGCAGCCATCCAGCCTCTGCCTGTTTCTGTATTAAATAACAAGGGTGTGTTTGTTGGGTTCTAAAGCTGCCCATGGCTGGTGTGTGTTTTTGTGGACAAGCGTGCGTGACGGAGAGGAAAAAACTGGCTAATCAGATAAATGCGCTCTTCAGGCAAATAATGCTCTTCATCTGCCAACTAAAATCATCGTATGTTTAGGACGCTTCTGTGTTTTGATGAAACTCCTCTTGATTCTGCTAATCTAACAAAAAACTATAAAAGCCTAAATATTGAGATGGACAATAATTTTAAATTATATTTCTTTCTTTCTCTTTCCCTCTCTCCCTCCCTCTCTCTCTCCCTCCCTAGAAAGATTTTTTGAAGACCATGAAAATGTGATTGAAGTGTTATCTGTTTGGACTCGAGACACTGAAAATAAGATGTTATTCTTGGAGAAAGATGAAAAATATGCTGTATTTAAAAACCCCCAGGTAAACTAATGTGACCAAGGTCAAGGGTTATCACCCTGTAAGTTGTGAATCCCTAAGAGGGCCACAAGCATGTTTGAGAGAAGCCACAACATTTTCTTAAAATGAATAAAATTTGTCCAAGCAAAGCTAATAGCAGTATAAAAACTCGCAGCAGGCTTGTGCAGGCAAAACCCACAGCAAGTTTTGAGAGAACGGCTAAACCTGTGGGTCTATACTGTACATCTGTCAAAACCATCTGCCAATCACAGAAACTTTATCATTTAGTTATTTAGTTTTTATTAATGGGGGGTTCACAGAAATTCATTTATCATTTTAAAATGTCATGATACTGCAGTTTGAGACTGTGCTATAGCTACACCAGTGGAGGGCAGAAAATAGATATGGATTTATTCACTTTGGTAATATGGAGATAAGGTTTTAATCAATAAAAGATACAAGCTGCTTGCTCACTGCCTGCCCTATGATTAAAAGAACATATGTAGTGAAGAAATCTCACAGCTGTTTCTAGTGATATGGAAAGCAAATTATTCAGAAACATAAATAATTGTGTGCAAAATTATTCTGTTTTCCATAGAACATTCAAGTGTTCTCCAAAACGTTTTGTTGTTTAAGTGATTCATCACTTTCTGGAAGTACATTTGTTTTGGGGGGCAAGTCAAGTGTGGATCAGGAAACATTACTTCCTGTTTTGGAAGATGTACTTCTGATAAATGACTAACCACCCCTAGAAGGACTGTATCAATGCCTTTCAGAAGAAAAAACAATATTCCACAAAAGACCAAAACATTTCATGACTGTAACAGAATTTTGTACATCTTCTGAATATATGCCCCAAGGAAAAAAGTAGATCTCACAAACCTGAAGTGTGTCCACCAATGATTTGATTTAGCATGTGTAATGATAATTATTTTGTTGGCTTTAAAGATCAATTCAAAAATATGAAAAGTGCAGCAGAAATTCTCAAAGGTGTATAAATGGTCTTGCCTAGTTATCAGAACACCTATTTTGGCTCCTAAACTTAAGTAGCACCAGCATCTACATTTTTCTGGAATTCCTGCCTCTTGTTGGGTTAAAACCCTGTGGCTACCCCTGCGTTTAGTACATTATAGACTTTGGTATATGAGGAAATGTAATTTATTTATGCAAAAAGAAAGACTGTTTTTTTCTCAAATAAGTTATCTTTAAAATGGGAAGGACATCTTAGATTTGTTGAAAGTACAGTCATGAAGGCAGACAACTTATTTGTTTGCATCCTTTTTGGAAGGACGTTGCCTTCAGTTCAGAGTCATCTTCCTTTCAGCTAAGTATAGTACATTTCTCTGTCCATGTTTTTGTAATTGGTTTTTCAGAGCAATCAGATTAAGAGGTTGTGTTCCATGGAACTACTGCAATGACTCAATAAGTGGAAGGTCACAAGCTTATTACTAAAAGCTAGGACTTCATACAAAGCTACATGTTCCAAATATCTTAATGGCAATAAATAAACCAATACAAATTACATTTTAAGGTGACAATGGCTCTTTGCAGCATAGCAAAATAAACATGCTTTTTGTTGGCATAATTGGAGGGTCTCAGTTAATGGACCTTTACTTTAGGTTGGGTTTACCCTAAGGTTGCAAACAAGATATACGCCACAGGGGAAAAAAGATCTCCTAAGCCTGAGGTGTGTTTTGTTCAGTGGGAAAGACTTCATTAGATGCAAAGTCTCTGTGTAGTGCAGTCCAGTGGACCAGAGAATCCACTCCTTTTTTTTCAGTTAATTATCTGGATGTTGTATAGTTAATGAGGAAGAGCCAGGTGCAAGTCACTCAACAGTGAAAATACAGATAACGACTCTCCAGCTGCCTCATTCATTGCATACCAGCCTTTCTGTGTACTGATGGATGAAGGGTGGCCTAGAAGAACTAATTTCTATATTTTCCCAGGAAGAAAGAACTGATCAAGAAACATGAACACTTTCTGGGATATACATTTTAACGTTCATATTGGGCTAGCTTGATTTTTGTTTCCATGCTTGTTAAACAGAGAAAAAAATTCTTCAAGTGTGTTGGATTACCAGTTCCAGGATGCCCAACATAGTCTACAAGCAAGGTTCTTTTCTTATTTAACCTGCTGGTGGCAGAATTTGTTCAGTGGGGAGAGTAACAGCATGGAGATTGAACTTGGTGTCTACAGAAATACGAACAAGAGCATTGGTAGACTTTTTAGGGATATTAGCTGTAATGGCATATTTCCTATGCAAACCTCATTATAACTAATAAGGACTACATAAAGAGATCCTTGTGACCTTACATGAGCTTCTTTAGAACTTTAGTTTTCTTGAATTTAGTGAGACTTGCCCTAAGAAATGCAGTTAGCATTGGATTCTCATTGTTGATGTCATATATCACTAATGCCCCATTTAAGAGCCATGAGCCTCTTTCAGAAATGAATGTTTCCATTACTGCTGCACAGTAATGAGCCAGGAGTTGAGAACAATTACTGCCTTTCTCCTATTGTTGGCTTGCTTATCTGCTGTGGCCCATAGCAAAAGAAAGGAGACAAGCCTATTACAATGATCGAGGACAGTGTTTCTCAATCTTAGCAACTTTAAGATGTATGGACTTCAACTCCCAGAATTCCCCTGCCAGTATGCTGACTAGGGAATTCTGGAAGTTGAAGTCCACACGTCTCAAAGTTGCCAAGGTTGAAAAACACTGATCTAGGAGAAGCAAATTCCCAACTGTGCCCACCTTTGATGGCAATTCTGTTTCCTGCTCTGGGCTTAGAGCTTCAGTTGTCATTTAAATGAAAACTTCTTGTAAACGCTAAAACAGGCAGATGATGAGAAGGATAGCTTAAAGTGCAGCTTGACCTCAGCCTGAGTTAAATTCTGTGGCCTGCTGAAGTTGTAATCAGCTATTTTATTGGTTCGTTTTGTCTTTTTTATTAGAATTTCTACTTGTCAAACAAAGGAAAAAATGAAAGCAAGGAAATGAATGAGAAAAGCAAAGAAGCATTACTGGAGGTAAACTAGATTTATGTTAAGCAACTGTGTATTTAGTTTTAAAGGAGGCCTTCTTCCCCTTTCCTAAAATAGATCAGAAATATTTCAGTTCTCCATTTGATGCAGTATAAAAATAGGAAGTTCAGACTTCATAATTATATTTTAAAGCTCTTCAAATCAAGTGTCTGTAACATGTCTAACAGGGGGAAACTGATTCTGACAAGTTGGGTCAAGTTAGAACTGATTCACAGGACCGTGGAAACCTGTCTTGACTATTGTGTGGGTTCAGGAAACAAACTGATCCTATGACAGACCCACAAATTATATATACATATACATATACATATACATATACATATATATAAATAAAAATAAAATGTACACACACACTAGGTAATCACAAAAGCATATTTAGGTAATAAAATATATACTAGGTAATCACAAAAGCAAGCACTATAATGTTCAAGCAAGCAAGCACTGTAATGGGCTCCAAGAATAAACCTTGGGAGACAGGAGGAAGAGTGCAGTCAGGGCAATGATTGGATAAGAGATATCTCAGCCCACAGAAGGAATGGGGGTGGAGAAAGCATCTCAGAAGGGACCCTCCTTAGTTTTCTGGAAAGTAAAGGCAGGGGAGGGGAGAAGCTCTTTCAGACTTGCAAGAATCTGTTACTGTAACCTTACAATAAAGGTAGTGTTAGTACTCATGGTTTTGGTTTCCTACCTGGACTCCCTTAAAGGGCTGGCAAGCACATCCAAAGACAGGGCAACTTGCCATCTCAGTTGCAAACATATCCAAAAGAGCTAGGGGTGAATTCATCTTTCCAAAGGGCTGGGCTTTTGCTTGGCTTCACTGTGCTAAAGAGGAATAGTCACTAATTACTGTAAGGCTGTCCAAAATAATTATTTACCTGCCCACATGCTTGAAGCAGGCTAACTTTCTAACTTTGTTTAAAAGCATCACACGTTGATTAAATTTAACATTTATTGAGTGCCTCGTTATAAGCTCCATCAGTGTTTCAAATGTGAGACTGCTCTGAAAAGGTTCATATGGTTCTACTGCAGTGTTTTTCAACCTTGGCAACTTTAAGATGTGTGGACTTCAACTCCCAGAATTCCCTAGCCAGCATGGCTGGCTAG